TTTTATGTCCCTTTTTTTTTTTTTTTTTTTTCCTTCCTTGTTTTGTCATTTCTCGCACGACTGTCGTTTTGTGCCCCCCGATACGTTTTTGCGAACGAATGTCTTGGAGGCGAGCCATCCGGAATGCAGTGTGAGGTCACTCACTGCATTTTTATTTATGTGGGCGTAGCCCGCACCGCGGACACTTAGCTAGTATATGTATATCACCGCTAAGGGCGGGGATCAAGAGCGTTGTGCACACGGGCATGATGGTCGACGTGCGCAACCAATCTGGCCACGATCTGTTGCCTTCTCGTCAAAACCCTCGCAGTCATTGCGGATGTCGTCTTCTACTGCCACATCACTTGCATTGCGCTACGCGCGCATGCGTTGCCCTTGAGGGCGGATGTCCTTGTCACTCTCTTCATCGCATTTGTCATAAGAATCAATCTGCACGTCGACTTTGTAGTCGATTAGCAGATTATGCAAGATGCAGACCACCATGATTTCGCAATAAATAGTCTTCAAGTTACCTATTTGCCGCCGACCGAAATTCCTCCAGATGCCCTTCAAAATGTCCACGGTCCGCTGAATGACATTCCTTGCCATTGAGTGACAATCATCAAATGTCACATGTGCGGTCGTTTGATATCTGTGCGTGCTATGAGGAGTCATCAACCAGTCGAGCAAAGGAAACCCAACATCTCCCAATAAGAACGACGCAATAAGAGTGGCATCCTCCAACAAAGTAGGTTCCCCGCCAAACACGCCCATGTCGCTCTCACCTTCAACGCATAGGACATTCGCAGCACGAGAGAGTTATGGACAAATCTCGGGCTACTAACGTAAACGTCTGAAATCCTACACTCATGGTCGCACACAACTTGCGCAACAATGAGAACTGTCTCTTGCGATCGTAGTAGCACTCCGGGCACTCATTCCTGGGATTTTCGATGTACAAACAAGTGCAATCAATAACACCTACACATCCAGGGAATCCTTTGCGTTCGAAGTGATTCATACAGTCTTCCAGACGTTGTCCCTGCGGAAGGAGATGACATGAGGGTACTCCCTGACGATAACTTCGGGCACGTCTTTGCTGCTTTGCAGCATGCTCATGAGACCCATCCCCAACCCTCACTGGATTGCCTGTAGTATCCGCCAGTCGTCCACCTGACGAGAGCACATGCAAAGTTCTGCTCCGTCGGCAGAGGCTGCCTCTAGTTCGCTGTCGCGCGCTGTATGTGAGGACCAATCTGCTGAAGCACATCGTGGAATAATGAATGTGGCAGCCTGCAAAATCTCACGAACACTATATTATGACGATGCCCCACACGCTGCAGGTCTTGCCAACCCCCCCGCTCCGCTCCAACATGGCAACACCCAAATCCTCCTTCTGCCATCCATCTTTCTCCATGTTTGTCATCGCCAGCCACATGTTTGCCATGCTATGGCAAACACATCCTGCTAGAAGTAGCAAGCACTGTTGTAAGCCGTCGTCGACTATAGGTAGGGAGGCCGCAGCCTTCAAGACAGCCATGACAACTGCATTTCGCCTGTTCATCCACTGTATGATCAACATGATAGTCATCAACAACACTTCATGGTCGTTTTCCTCTCCTCCATTCAGCCTCCGTCGTTGTGCTCCTCCGCTCTCCATAACTAGGTGGAGATTGGATATAATTGCAGAGTCGTTCATGCTGGCCATACCGCTGTTTTCTTGCGTGGGGACGACCCCCCAAGCCACGTAAGCGAGCATGTTGGGATGGGGAGGTTGTGCGCTTCATGACCCACGACGATGGGAACAGGGCCAATGCGTGTGAGGTGTTGACAATGATGCGGAGGAGGAGCATGGAAGAAAATGGGTATGGCGTCAGCAGCTCTGCGTCTTAGGGGCGATGAACCGCTTTTTTACGACCATTATCGGAAGCACCGACCGTTCGCATCGCAACACAGGTCGGGGACGACCTCGAACTCGAGATCGGGGAGGGTGTGCCGCCCGCATACCAGTCTCTGCCGCATGGGGAAGGTCGCACGATCGCCCAGTATCTATAGCCACCCTTCCATTAAACCACCGGCAAGGGACCGGAAATGGCCTTCCACGCCCCGACCTTTCCCAAAAAAGAAACCGGCCAGGATTTTCCTTTATGGGTATCGTGGACGTCGCGAAAGCAACATTTCCCGGCGCCGGTGGGGTCCCTTATATTTTGTCATTCCCGTCTGCGGTGGGCAGTCGCCTGGAAGTCAATGACTTCCGAATCCGTTTGCCGTCGTCCTATGAGGTCCCTCTCAGTTTTTAGATTTTTATTTATTTTTATTTTTTATGTATGCGTACACCGGAATACCTACACGTCTGCACTGCATACACATACGGGGTGCTACCCAGACCTAGAGGGCACATGTGCGCAACCCATAGGTTGTTTGTGGTTTTGCATGCTGAGAGATGTCGTGAGGCAGGAGGAGAGGAAATCATTACAACATATGCAAGACTCCATATGCTGTGGGGGGGTAGGGGGAGGGGGGTGCATCCACCCCCACCACCACAATAACATCTTCACACACTAAAACATTAGGGCAAGGGGAGATGACATGAGATGATGTTATTGTAGTGGTGAGGTGGATGCACCCCCATTTTGAGCCTGGCCCGCTGAACCGAAACAATTTGGGCCTGCTTGTAGCACCAGGGAGACAGAATAGCGTTCTTTTGCTGCCTACATTTGTTTTGCCACCCAGGATTCGTCTCTCCCCTTCACCCCCGTCGTTCGCCCCCTTCCCCCCCCTCCCCGTCCCTTGCCCCCTCTCCCCCCCCCTCTGCAAAGATCAGTACTCTACTGTACTCATTCTATGTTTTCATATATTTTCATGAAATATTTTATGCACAAAAAATCGTCAAGGTAGACACACTCTCCCTTTTCATGGGTCTGGGCCATTCGTTTTCTCAAGTTGCCTGGGGCCGTGTGCTGACGGTTTACTGACGCAAGCCCTGCATGAGATACTTCACTTCCCTCTCGGTGGTTCCTTGAGCAGTTGCGAACGGAAAAGGGGAAGATCCTATAGCATGTTTGGGCAAAGAAGAGATAGGAGATGCGTATCGAGCCGCGGGAGGGTGAGCAGATGGGAAGCCTTCCTTGACCCCCCCCCCTGCTGCTCTGGCATGATAGACCATCAGATATTGTTCATCATCTGGGGGAACCTGCATGAGGAGGTGGAGGGTATGTATGGTGACTAAAGTAGTTATTTGTTGCTGAAGGGGGAAGGGCAAGGACAACTGGCAATTTGGACCGTTAGCAAGGAGGCCGTCCGATCGCTAAAAACACAATTAGCAGCCCTACTCTGGAGAGGTAATGGTGAGCTCTCGAACGTTATTAGCAGGGTAGCCTAGTTATCGGCGATCCAACCCAAGGACAAAGGGGGCCTGGGGATCCTGGACCCGGATACCCAGATCACAACATTAACTGTCCAATGGGTTAGGAGATTGCTTTTTACCGAGCACCTCCCATGGCAAGCCCTGGCACTGGAACTAATAGCCAGACTTGCCCCACAGGCATCGCAAGGAGTTAGCCCATTGACCTGGCTGGAAGACCGCTTTTGGACTGCGTCACGGTGCCCCCGTATAGCGAGACTCACCCCGAGACACAACCCATTCGGACCTGG